AATATTGTGTTTAAACACAAACACAAATTATGTTTAACAAACATGTATTAAATAAATTAAGCTTAATATCGAAGACTCAAACAACGGTACTGCTATTTTCTCTCCGGCATCTCAATCAAGCGATGCCACTTTTCCACAGAAATACAATCGTCTTTAAAAAGGCTATGATCGGGTATTTATGTCCCTGCCTGCATGGCAAATTTACGACTGGAATCAATACAGTGTAAGTGCAATAGCATTTATATATGTAGCTACATATGTATGTAAATAATTATGCGCTAAACAATCTATGTATGTATGCAAGTTGTGTGTATTTATGAACTATTTAGAAACTAGAGTTGGTTTAATGTACGTTTGTGTGTTTGTGTGTGCTTGTAATTATCAGTGCGAAGCTTGGTGGCCATAGGTTTCCCGAAATCTCTTCTGTATTAACTGGTATGCGTTGTAAACCCTAGAAATGATTTCAAAAAAAGAAAAAAGCTGTGGGTTAGGCAAAAGCGTTAAGCCAGTAAATATGGTTTGAAAAGGAGTGGAAGGGCGTGGTGGCGATAGATGCGCATGCCGCAGCATTGTTGCTTTCATCAGAATTTAAGCACTCAAGTAATTTAAATTTTAATGGAAAATTCTTCATTAACACATACTTCTCTTTCGCTGCCCTGAAGGACTTCTTGCGCGGCTTCTTGTCGACCGTATCGGTGCCGACTTCTGTGTTGGGCAGGTCATTTGGCGAAATCATAGTTAAGTTATCTAGAAAAAAAAATTTATTTAATAATAAATAACGGGTTTTTGTACTATTTTGTGTGTCACTTACCTGGATGGCAGAAGAATGCAATGGAATGACGGCCACGCGTGCGTATATGTGGCTGTTCTGGTATCACAACACGATGTTGCTGCAATGAAAAAAAGAAAGTCATAAGTTGCAGATTTTTGTGTATGTTTTTTTTTTTTTAACTTCGTACAAGTACGGCAAATAACCCATAAATCATAGTCTTATTTTAGAACTGCGTACTATAAAAATTACACCATGGATATGAGTATGCTATATCTCAAAAAATAAAGCTAATACTTAAGGCAAAAGAATCAGGATACCAAATACATATCTACAAAAAAGCTGCTTGACCTTTTGGAAAAACTTTTTAAATATGTGTTACTATTAAATTGTTCTGTGAACTATTTATGTAGCCTTAGGCCAATTAGCTGAGGCAATTAAACTTTAAATTGCGGCATTGAGTTTGGCGTTCACACACACATCAGCAGCCCAATTATCGATACGAATTTAGCTGCTGGATTACCTACAGTGATGGAAAAGTTGGTACAATCGTACCTTTATTTAGGTTGAAAGTACATTCGGTACAACACACACAATTTTAGATACGTTTGGAACGTAGACAAATAACTTCTCAGATATCAGTTCTTATTTTTATTGACATTTCAATGCGTTTGCTGGTGGGGCCAACTGATCTAATAGCTTCTCTCCTTCGTGAAGTGGCATACAAATAATACAGAAGGGTGGTCAAAGTTACGCAACTGTAGTTGATTTCGCCAGATAGATGGAAAATGTTTCTTTTTAAAATGTCTGATCAAAGAACTGTGAGGAAAGTGATTCACCTTTCTACAACATAGTTTTGGCTCGCGCTGCTCGAAGAGATTCTTTACATAGCCAAAATTTGTTTAATGTGAGTACAGAAGTTAATATGGTATCAATGGGAATTGTTATCCTCCTATTTCTCTTTATATAGAAATGCATATATACTTTTCAGGTACATCTATCTACTTTTGGGTAAAGTTTTCATTTAATTAGGTACAATTTTATAATTCAGCTTTAAAAGAGGACCAAAAACAAACAGCTGATTGCTCTTTGTTTAATAAACATACCTCCAAGTCAAAATTAAACATACCTAGCAGGGTTGCATAGAGAATCTGACACAAATTAATTGCCAATTAATTATTGATTATTTGTTCGCAATTAGTAATTTGAATTTTTGTATGATAAATCGGGTAACAATTAAGGTTTAAATTGGTGAAAAGGAGCTTAATTGCCAATAAGGTGCCTGTTTGAACATAGTCTTAAAACGCCTTCACCAGAATCCAATAGCTTTCAGCTGATCCCAGCACAACCAGATTTGGGTTACCGAAAAGAAAGGCCGTTCAATCACAGTGGCCTTATAATTAGACTACCACATGCCCACCGTCAAGTTATATTATGCCAAAGATTTGAACTAACCACAAATCCCATACAAAATAGTCAAGCTGCAGTTACTGGATTCGCGGAGAAACCCAAATCAAGAAGGCCGTGGATATTCTTTACAGATGGATCAAGGACAAAACGCGACGTAAGTGCTGGGATTTTTGTCTCAATTTTCGGCTAATCTTTCGCTTGTCGCACTACGCAATCGTTTTCTGTGCGGAAGCGTTTGTAATAAAGGAGGCGGTAAGCCACATTAAATATTAAGCTCGCGCGAGTACGCAGAGAAATATTTTCTCATTAAGCCTTAGGGCAATCAAGAGCAGAATTACAGAAATTTACCGCTCGAAAGCTAGGCAAAGGTGGAGTTGTACTGGATCGTATATAAGTATATGACTGCCAGATAGAACAGCAATATTTGCACGACCCGTGGAACAGTTCTGAGAGGCATCGGGATCGCCAGGTTCGGAACCTAAAAGTTTAATTTCGGCATATGCGGTATCGGAATTGAATATCTAGTCTCGCGCCCATCTTTTTCCCTTCGAAGGCACAAGATTTTCGTTTTTGACGACGCCAGGTAAAATTTTGTGTTTAAGGGGCTGGGAGCTTTAAATAGTGCATAGATAACCGGATATTCGAATCAAGAAATAACCAAATGAACGGATTTCGGATAAAGAAATTAACGAATAACAACCGAATATACGGAAAAGTTTAAGCCACTAAAACCGGGTTAAAAAGTCCCGCCTTATTAGGAGTTAATAAGTTAAAAAATTGTATTCAACAAAAAAAAAATTGTGCTAAATGTTATTATAGGTCTCTTAAGGCGATTATTGTATTTAAAGTCGTTTTGGCATGTAAAAAAATAGGATATTTGAGCAAAAAGTAGAAACATAACATATGGATATTAAACTTTGGGCATAGTTTGGTTGAGGTCCTTAAACGGCTGTTCCTCTGAGTTTTACAAAAACGTTAATCATTCTTGTTTTCAAGGTGGTGGCTATTCCACAGACTCTAGCAACCCCAACCGCAGACAGTAAAAGGACAACAAAAATAACTATATTCCTCTCAACCCACAATTCGGTAATTATAACCCAATAATGTAACTATGTCTAAACAAATCATGTGTTGAGCAAAACATATTTAGTTGACGTAAACTAAACTCTTCACAGTGCATTTTACATTCAGAAAAAAGTCAGGCAAATATATTCCTCTCAACACATGATTCGGTAACTATAAACAAGTAATGTAACTATAACCAAATCATGTGTTGAGAAAAACATATTTAGTTGACGCAACTAAACTCTTTTCTCAGTGTAGTGCAAGATATTTTGCACCAAACAGCGATAAGCCAATTATACAAAATAAAACACTTCATTAAAACTTCAAAATTTAACCTGCAGACCTAAGATATACCAAAACCATTCTCCAGCGGTTGAGCCTCATATCATTTACCAATGCAATTACATATGTACAAAAATTTTAATAATTATACATGCATATATGAACATATGTGTGTATGGTGTATACCAATGTATTTTCTCAGTTCTTGTCATATACATACAAGTCGTCATAAAAAATCCGAGTTGGTGGAAATATTAAAACGCAAGTGTAAGAACACCAAATTAAAAAGGCAGGTAGAAGGAAGGTAAAGAGAAATGAGTCATACGTACATACATACATATGTATGTATATGTATTTTGAAAAATGTGATATTAGTAAATATCTTTAAATTTTCTCTACCACTCACCAATGCTGGATAACGTCCTTTCGTCCATATCGACAAGATTTCGCCGCAGTTTATCAATATGGCACCGGGCAAATGGCCAACACGCTGCCATTTTTCACTACCCGGCATTTTCACCTCAAGTCCACCCTCCGAGTCCTGGGCCAACAATGTAAATGTACCATAATCTGTGTGTGCACCACAGCGTATCATTTCACCGTTGGGCAACTGACGTTCAGTGGTGTCGTTGCTTTCATCTTTGCCATCCAATTCGTTGATTTCATCGCGCGGATTCGTTTCTGGCCGGAAATCGGGTTTATCCGACAAACAACGTTGATAACTGTAAATACAACTGCCCTTAATAAAGTCATTCTTCTCATCCGTATCCTCAATGATGGGCGGATAGTAGAGCAGACGTAGTGTGGACTCGTTGTCATGATCACCGGACAGCATGTGTGAGTGTTTCTCGAGGAAGAACGATTGTGGTATGTCGAGCGAGACGGCAAGTGACTGCAGAATGAAGCGGGAGAGTGCTTTGAAATCCGTTGCCAAGGATGAAATGTGTTCCGCGAAGCCAGGTAATGGTTCTTCGGGTAAATTTTTCGCATTTAATGTGCAAATGTTGAAAGCATGGCGGAGTTCAGGAGTTTTGCCATTGAAACGCTCTACGCCTGGGCGCACGTAGCCATGATTATCATCACCAGTGCGTAGGTAATGCTCCTTCACATCGCCAGGTAGGTCAACAAAATCATCGAGATGATCCCAAGCGGTTTTCAACTGAAATTATAGCAGTGTGGTTCAGATATTTAAGTGGGTGATACACAAGTGGCAATGCTAAAGGCAAACTAATTATCATACCTTTTCATCGGAAATGCCATGATTTACAAGCAAGCATAGTCCCTTCTCGGACATACATTTTTGTAATTGATGGCCGACTCGATTCACAACTGAACGCACTGGCGCCTCTTCGGTTCCTATGGATGAGATAGAAGCGAAATTATATATGAAGCAAACTTTAACGAATCTACAAAGTATTTAAAAATTACTTGAATGAAACCAACAAAATTGACAATTAATGAATTAGCAATTTGAAAATGTGCAGGTTTTAAGCAAAAAAGCAACAGTGAATTTTAATCGCAATTTTTTCAGCGGCAATTAGCGCCAATGACAATATGCATTTACTATATGTATGTATTTATGTACATAGCGGTGTGATGAAAGTTGAAAAAGTTGATAATTATTTGATTTTGCAGCGAATTAACTGCAGAATCAGCGTTCTTATACACATATATAATTAAATAAAGGTAATAGCTGCTGTCACACTTTAATTTATTTAATTTTAATTGCTATGAGCCCTTAACCGCTTCCGCGTGACTTAAATATTATTAAGCATTATCCCACAATGTACAGATATGTAAACTTCGAAAGCCGATGAAGTAAACCATTTAATATACATTTCATATTTCAAACCACTCTAAAGAGGAATTACGTACCTTTCAATATTCGTTTCTACATGTGCACGTTAGGGTGGTCCAAAAATGCATGTGAAAAAGTAAAGTCGAAGTTTTTAAGCTCTCACTCCCTAAGATTGTTATAAGTGTACCAAAAAAATACCACATTTTATCAAAAAATATTTAGGGTCGCTCAAAGCACTCAAAATTTTCCATGTATTTTATATGAAAAAAAAACTTTTCGTAGAAATGGTATAGAATCAAGATTTTCAATATTTTTCGATCGGAAAACTCTGTTTCTCATCAGGAGATTCCCAATAACAATACACAATTATTTATTTAACCATTTATTTAACAATTTTTTTATAGTAACTATATTTTATAGGTCCGCCAAAACCCCCAGAAAATGTAATTTGGGGATGAATAAAAAATCTTTAGTAATAAAAAACCAGAGTTTTCCCGATCGTAAAATATTGATTTTAAAGAATTGTATACCGTTTCAATGAAAAGTGTTTTTTATACATATAAAATACATGGAAAACTGTGAGCGATCTCAAAATAAAAAATAGGGGTATGTATATTTTTTCCGATATGGAATAATCCTGTGGGGTGAGAGCGTTAAAATTCCGGCTTGACTTTTTTTTGGGCCACCTTAGTGTACGTAAGCAAGCATTTTTAACCAATTGCTGGTGTCCGATTGACCTGAAACTTTTTCTCTAATACAGTCTGTATCAAAGGAGAGTGACCTTGTTTACTAAGAATTTTAATAGGGTTCCCACCTGTTACAAAAATTACTATATTCAGTCCTAATAAGCGTAGGCATCGGTTCTGCGCCATCACTGTCAAATGAAAATACTTAGCCGCTTGATGTGTAAAAATGTATTATTTTATTAAGTAGGGTTGCCACCTCCTGCGTATATGTACTTATGTACTTATATACACATTCAGCGCGCAAACGAGGCCGGCTAATAAAATATGAGAAAAGTGTGCTCGTTTGGCATTGTATTTTTGTCAATAAGAAAAATATTGTATTATATTATCAAAAACAAACAACTAATGCATTTGCTTTAAAAGCAAACTCGAAATATATGAGTAAAGTTACTCAGAGTTCAATAAATTATTTTTGAGTTTTTTGATTAATCTGGATAATGATTAATAAAAAAATTATTTAATCGATTAAGCGCACATCCCTAACATACATACATTTCGTCGTTTAAAGTAATAAAATCGCTTATCAAAATAAGACGAAACCTCGTATGTGAAGTTTACCCAACTGTGCAGAATAGAGTAAAACTTATTTCAAAATGGTTATCTCTTTTATATCTAATTATCTCTACCTTTTATATCTACATTTCGATATTTTGGTATGAATGAAAAAGTCTTGTGAGCAAATCCGGTGAGCAAATCTCATTTATGGCACAATGTCCGTTTTGCGACGATATATATATAAATACATACATACATACATATGTGCTTTGACCACGCGAGAATAAACTTTTTCTGTTACGGAAGCGGCTTGTCGATTTGACCCGAGACCAAGAAACTTTGTCATTTAACTCGCTCTGCAAAGTTATAAAAGTTATTCACACCAACTCGTCGGCGTGAAAGACCGATCTATCTCGGCTGCCGGTTCGAAAGAAGCACAAAATAGAATTACGTTGTACAACATGCCCATTAAGGTTGCGACGAGTTGTTTTTTTTTTGCTACACGTGTCTACTTTTTTGTTGATCGGTGATCACTCTTATGCCGATTTGGTTTCTACCGAAAAATGCAACCTTCTCTTTGCCCTTTAAGCACAAACACTGTGAAGAGGGCGAGGAAAAGACAACGTTTTTTGTAGAAAGGAAATCGCCATTAGAAAAATGATAAGGCAATTTTATCCATTGGGCGATCATTGTGGCGGCCATTGAACGAAGACTCATTCTCCGGAGCTGATCAATAACGACGATCATACAATAAATGAAATCAATAATCACACAACGTACGACCAACCAAGTTGACATTTTCAAGTAATTGCTGATTTCAATTGATATAAATGGATAAATAATAATAACGAAGTGCATTTCAATTTGAATAAATAGCTTGGATGGCACGCCGAGAATAGAAATATAATATATGAGTAAATTTATGTGTACATTTAATGATTCACAGACCATTAAAAGGTGGCAAATATTCTTGCATTTTATGTACAAAATATTTACACACATTGGGGTGGTCCTTAAAAAATCAAATTACCAATTTTTTTCAGTCTTACCCACCACCCACACCAGATTTTTTTTAAGCGTAATTGATTCGAAAAATTATTTTAAAAATTTACATGCTTATTAACAATACGGACTTTAGATAGGATAGAAAATTCTGTAAAATTGAAAACAATTAAATTTTTGGCCAATAAAAGCCATTAGACATTGAAAATGTCCTTTTGGAACTTTATCCTTGAATATACTCGAAAATTTCGAATAGTTATTTTTGCAAAATAAATATATATTAAGGACTAACATGTTCGCTAAAATATCCTTGAATTTTATCCTTCTAACTTTATTATTTTAAATAGCGGCTGGCCTTGTGCACCAAGAAATTTAATTCATTTCAATCAACTAGGATCGAACGTGACTAGCATTTAACACCTACGCCTTAATACATAAACTGTACATCTACATATATATTTGCTATATCTGAGAACTGTCGTCGGTTAAAGTGCAGTGGTTTACGCTAAAGTCAATGAGAGTGCGTCGCCGTTTTCTCTGATAGCCCGACGGCCACTATAGCTCTGGCGTGGTTAACCACAAATTCGAAGCTGATAAAGGAGTGCAAAACTATTTTGAACGGAACTACTAGTCAGTTCAAATCAGCTTTAGCTTGGGTCCCTCAATCATCGTAACATTTCCGTAAATGAGGCTGCCGATGAATCAGCTAGGGACGGTTTCACATTGGCCTCAATCGAGGGCGGGATCTCGCCCCAATCGGATTTTATACGGGGAATCAGGTCATAGGTGTCGCATGCCGAATAGTTAGCCAAGCGTATGTAGCACCCACTGCCGACTACGTACATGTATACGTACGCTCTCAAATGTTCAGCTTGAACAAATAAAATACAATTGCTTTTAAATAACATCATCTCCTCCCAACGCACAGTGTTTCGACTATAGTAGTAAAACTAGAGCACATGTCAAGTTTCAGTGAAATCGGTGCATGTGTACTATTATTTCCACCAGCCTCCATATAGCCGAAACACTGTCCAACGTTTCGAACGTTCTCCGCATACGAAAATTTAAATTAATTTTAGTTGTTTTCTCTGCGTTTCCGGATACGGAAAATTGTACGAGACCGCAGTTTTGGCAACATTTACGTTTCTCTGCTATGTATATGGGAGAAACCCCAGTTTCTTACTGGTTACTGACCGGTTAACAACCATGCTAGAAGCATTTGTACGCTTTTTCATGACAGAAATACGTTAACTATGGTTCCAATAGCAATTTAAGTAAAAAATTATCATTTTTGCCTTCTAACCGAATAAATTCAAATAAATAACATTTTTCACTCAAATTGCTTTTGTGAAACTGGCTTTAAGAGCTTTGTTAATGCTTGCCTAACCGAGACCGCTACTTGAAAAAATCTTCCATAATTCAGAGGATGAACTGTCACTGAAACTGGATTCCACCTAGTAGTAGTACACACTACTAGCCTATCTATGACCTGAAAATTACATACATATCGCACGTTTAATAATATAGAGATGTAACTAAAAATTTACGTTTTTGAAGATCTCATTATGCAATAAATAAGCTTGATATTTAAGTAAATTTAATAGATAACCAAACTTCCCAAATATGGGCAAAGATATGTGTCTTTCCAACTTTCCGTATGGATTGATAAAACTTTGATTGCATTTTCCCACAAAATTGAAATTTTGAAATACTTTTCAATACAGTAAATAATTCCTATACAATATTTTTATTATTTCCGCACGGAGTCCACTATGGCGGTCAAGTTCTTAACCCAATGTATGAGTATAAATATACAGACGTGTGCATGGCACTTGTAGCAGTTAACGGGTGCGCCGCCACCCACATATATGTAGTATTGTTACAGGCCATGACAATGTTAACAATGCATTGGAAAACAACCAAACAATCGATTACCGCCAACTTTCGAAGTAATCAATGACGATTTTATATTGTTAAGCGCTACCTGTGGATGTTGGTTTGTTTGTAGTTTTTGTGTGTGCAGTTGAAGAGCTTAAAGCATTTGCAATTGTTGTTAGCACACAATAAAATTTGGCTTTTGAATTGTTTGCCATATACATATCTACTAAACTGAAGTGTGGCTGCCGACGACAGTATTAGAGGGGATTTACTAATGTATGTATAAGCACATATACATGTGTACATACATATATTTGCTAAAAATTATCAGGAATTCGCCATCGACTACAAAAAAGTGATAAGTTTTAAGTGGCGAAAGTCAACCTAATTGAACAACTTCTAAAATTCGATAAAAATTAGTTTAAAAATATTTAAAA